TATGTGGCCATGGCATCCCCTTTTGATGCACCTGAGATTTCAGATTTGGATAAAATGCTGCCTCCTTCATGGATTTGCTTCATGTAACCTAACTGATGGGAACTGGAACTATATTCCTGACCCCTCTAACGGTCACATCCAACGTACGAATGAAGTCCACCATTGGAGTTGCTGGTTTCCGAGCCTAATGTATAAACCTTAGTTGTTGCGATATTAACGCAATGATTGAATACGTCTAAATTGGTAAAACATTTTACCCTGCGATAGATAATTTCACTATCTGTTTTAAACTTCAATTTCTTATCCTTATCATCATTACTCTCAGTGTCCTCATTTCTGCGCTTCGTACTTCTCATGTCTTCAGCCTCTCCAATGCCTTCCTCTGGCAAGGATGGAGAAACTGACAGTTCACCAGCAGAAACCAAAGAAAACAAACTCAAAATGTCTCCACATTGCAAGTCTGCATGAAGATTGATCCCCACTGCCATCATCTCTTGTTCTCTTTCATGTAGCCAACTGGAAAATTTGGAAGCTCTCTTTCCAGCATTAACCGGAAAAGGAGACTTAGAAACATTATGCAAGAACTGTTGAGAAAGTACAAAAGGCTGGCCACCAGTTCCACCAATCTGCCAAATGGTGCAGAATGTTCAGAATTTGAAATTTTCAAACATATAAAAGATATACCGGACAAAAGTTATATAAACAAAAGGATGCTATTTAAAGCATTATCTTCAAGCAACCACAATTAACTGTTTGTTGCCTACATGGACCTCAATGAGAAAAAGAACCATGTACAGACAACACGAACAACCCAGAACTTCAAAAGTTTGCTTCATATAGTCAGATAGTGACGATGTTGGTAGCATCCTTATTCCCCCTATACCAGAAGACTGCCTTGAACAAGTAGCATGCTACACATCCAATTGACATTAAACTGAAAAGAAGAAAAAGATAAGAAAAAGTAGGTTACCATAATTTTTTTCTCCCTGAGGTAGCTATAGGCTGCAAAAAGATCACGTTCCGAATACCGTCGTAAAGTTTCTGCGAGCAGATTTGGAACATGTTGTGCTGTAGAGGTGCTCAAGAATACAAGCTTCAATAATTCTACGGCATTGGAAATAGCCAAAGATTCATGGACTCTTCTATTAATGCTAATTTCCTCACTCAAAAGTTTAATAAACCTTTGTCGAAGACGGTGACATCTTGATCTGGGAGCAGAATCTTTCTGTTCTTGCTCGGACAGGTTCTGTTTATCCTCACTAGTAGTTGGTGAAACCATTTCAGGTTCCTGGAGATTCCACAATGTAAAGAAATAGGAAATATCTCAGCCACGCAGCATCCTAAGCACTAAACAATGTGATAATTATCTACAATTGTTGGCAGTACCATGCTTACGTGTGCATGCAGACACATTGTTATATATGCAGATGATTGAAATTCAGAGGCAGGAAGCAGAGAAGGCTCTAGAAAATCCAAGTATTCAGTAAAAAAACATGTGTGTGCATGTGCGGGTGAAAAAGTAAACAATAGAGAAAACTAAAGCAGATCAGGATGGTACATATTCATCAGCATTCACGTTTATATTTGACCACTCCTCCGAGTTGAGTCCAACCCTCTTGGAGGCCTCCAATTTAGTCATCCGCTTGAGCTGAAGAATATCCTCCAAGGCTCTCTTTATATCTTTGTCATCCAAATCATCCCATTGCTCTTCCTGAAGACCACTGCTTTCAGCAAGTCCAACATCTTTGGATATATTCATGCTGGAAGGATCCATGTGTGAAGGTCGAATAAGCATTGTGCAATCATCATTATTTAACAACCTTTTCTGGTTTTTCTCAAGGTGCCTTGCATATCTCCAGCTAAGCATATTGCAAAGACTCATGACAGCTTTGCGAAATCTAATATTTCTCTTTAAGGATGACATCCTACGCCTACAAACATTAGGAGATGCTGGAAGCTCAGAAAGTGAAGCCCAATCTACACGCTGGAACTTTGCCCCAAGAGCCACACGGTGTCTCACGTATTGTATCACCAATTGCCTGAAAGGGAGATGTCTGTGTTAAAATACAGAAAATAAAAAATAAACTCATAACTGAACCAAAGATAAACTACTAGTTTCTCTTCTTTAAAGAATATATACATCCCCACTAAAACCAGATAGGTAATCCACAAACAGCATAATGTAAATGTTCTAGACAATGATACGAAGTTGTCCTTAAATGAAATCTCTGGTCAGGTAACTTTATCTTTCAGGAATTATTTTATATCATCATGACATATTCACCTTTTATCTAAATGGCATGGGGATCATAATACTCTCATCACTCTAGCCAACATCTATGAATGAACATATCACATAAACATTGACAAAGTCACAATCCCCTTTTCACTTTATTCTTACCTGCACTAGACATGTATGTTTTCAATAGATTGTCCATATGTCTAGAGATAGATACTTTACCTATCTGCTTCATCTGTCCAAGAAAACCTT